CCTATCCCAGGTTTACAGCATGGTGACTGGATGTTTCAGGTATATAATGTGGGATCCCATCCCAGGTTTACAGCATGGTGACTGGATGTTTCAGGTATATAATGTGGGGATCCCATCCCAGGTTTACAGCATGGTGACTGGATGTTTCAGGTATATAATGTGGGGATCCCATCCCAGGTTTACAGCATGGTGACTGGATGTTTCATGTTTGTAATTTTGGGATCCCATCCCAGGTTTACAGCATGGTGACTGGATGTTTCAGGTATATAATGTGGGATCCCATCCCAGGTTTACAGCATGGTGACTGGATGTTTCATGTTTGTTTACAGCATGGTGACTGGATGTTTCATGTTTGTAATGTGGGGATCCCATCCCAGGTTTACAGCATGGTGACTGGATGTTTCAGGTATGTAATGTGGGGTTCCCATCCCAGGTTTACAGCATGGTGACTGGATGTTTTAGGTATATAATGTGGGATCCCATCCCAGGTTTACAGCATGGTGACTGGATGTTTCAGGTATATATTGTTGGGTTCCCATCCCAGGTTTACAGCATGGTGAATGGATGTTTATTAAAATACTTCTTGGACCATGGATGGTCAACTTTATTTACACCCCAAAATAATTAAAATATATCAACATGATCAAAATGCCTCCTCTTATGTTTCTGCCTAATTTTGATTAAACTGCTGTTTCATCTGTGGTATAAACCTGAATGGCATTGAGTGGTTATGTTCTTACTGTAAGCATCTATCATGTTGCTATGACAATCAAAGAACAACAGAACAGTTTTGGTATACAGTTGGCAATGTTGTCACACATATAGTTGAAACACACCTCGCATTTGAGAGGAGCCATATTCCCAAAATAGCATCCTGCATCAGAGTTTATGAAAAGACTGAATTATTCATAATTGTGCCTTAATCAGCAACATTTTGAAAAATTATAAAGTTTAAAAATGAAAAGTCTAACTCAAAGCCAAATTACATCAAATAAGGTCCTTAAAATAATCTATTATAAACAACCTTTTACAGTCAGTAACATTGTTAAACAACAAACACACAAAACTGAAAACATATTTATCCCTTTCATTAACATTTGTTTTCTATCCAATTGCAGGTGAAAACATGTACAGGTTTATGTGGATTTCTACGGTAATCATCACATGACAAGTTAAGCAATGTATTTCCGCCAACACTTCCGTGTGTTAGGTTAGTCTACTATTGGCCACACAGTTTTTATTGTCTTGGTTTATGGATGTGTCTCATATATATTTCTTCTGTCATGGACAAAATTGATATTATTTCTGCTGAAATAAAAAGTGAGTGCAAGAAAATTATGAGATTATTAATGTATAGTATAGTTTGAATGTACCCTCTGTTTAACTTATTTCAACACACACGCACATGGATGAAAGCATGGACACACACACACACTGACACACACACAGACACACAGACATGCACACACACACACACACACACATGGATGAAAGCATGGACACGCACACAGACACGCACAGACGCATGCACGCACGCATGCACGCACACTGACACACACACACACACACACGCGCACACATGGATGAAAGCATGGACACACACAGACATGCTCACACACACACACACACACACACACACACACACACACAGGCATGGATGAAAGCATGCACACACACAGACACGCACATACACACACTGATGCACACACGCATGCACGCACGCACATACACACACTGACGCAAGCACACACGCACGCACTCACACTGACACTAACACACACACACACACACGCTCGCACATGGATGAAAGCATGGACACACACAGACATGCTCACACACAGACATGCTCTCTCTCTCTCACACACACACACACACACACACACACACACACACACACACACACACACACACACACACACACACACACATGGATGAAAGCATGGACACACACACACACACACACACATGCACACGCACACGCACACACACACAAAAATCCCTAGTATTTGGTACTTCATGCATGACACCCCACAAAGATTCCTGGCAGTATTTGGTCCCTAGCACAGGAACCTCATACATGTCTCCCCACAAAATTACTTTCATCTTGAATGAATATTTCTGGCCAGGGTTACACAAGGCACAAAGGACAGACATTGATTATGTGTCTTTAAGATAAAATATATCAGCATGAGCCTTGACGAGGGTTCTTCCGGCGTTTACTGATGAATGCTTATAAATTCTATCTTTTTAAAAAGCACCGGGGACATCCCACGTTTCATCCAGTATAACTTTCATTATTATGTAGTCTTGAGACTGTATACAATGCATTTCATAAATAATTATCGAATAAGTCTAAATATTTTTGGGTTGAATTTTCAGTTGTATCTTTGTTTTTTAATTCAATCAGAATGTCAGAATGTTGAGATCTGACTGGTTCACATGATCTTGATAAAATACTATGTATTGCGCCTGGGAGGAAAATAAATTTCTGAGCCTGAAAATATATACCTTATATCCTGCTATGAAGAAGATAGGTTGCACATTGATTTCGGAGCAGGAGAATAAATCCCTTATACCCGGCTACGAAGATAAAAGCTGCACATTGCTAGAATCAATGAAAGTCATGGCACAAATTAACCTCAGTTCAATGGAACAACTGTTTTCTATCAATTTTCAGTTTGTTTTAATTCTTTTACAATGACAGATTGAAACATGTCGGCAAGGTAAATTTGTTGTAGCAGTATCACTTGGGGTACATGTGGTTTTAAGCATCCCTTCTGATTGGTCAAACAAATTTCTGAACTTAAAAAACTAAAGTTGCTTCACCTTACTTCTTCCTCCAGCCGCAGTGTCTGTGCAGCTGTGTGATGAGGATGATCGATGAACTTGGCTTATACTACAAGCACCTTGCTAACAGCGTTTCAGGTATCTCAACATTGTGACCTTAACCCTTCAAACACTCATGTTCTTTCAGTCCACAGAGGTGTAATGGACTGGATCTGAATACATGAATTCAAAATGATCTGCTCTGCCAGTCACCTATTCAAAATATTTCTTTACTTTTGACAAACTTATCAGGTTTGTAAGTACATCTACCTGAATGCATGAATGCCATTTTGCTTGCATCACATACATCCAATATTTGAGGTGCTACATTTGGCATATACCGTCCTTCTTGTTGTTGTTTTTACTTTGTACTACCTTGACAGATACACACTTGAATATTAAAACAAAACAGAATATTACCTGATATAACAAGATAAAAACACAGGTGGTCCCCTGCAGGCTACACAAGAGACATGTACATAGACATTCCAAACAATGTGTCCAGTTCTGAAACAACATTTTCTTTAAAAGGTCACCGAGTGCGACCACTTTAATGTCATGTGTTTCCACAATGGACAAGGTATACCAGACTTCCTCTGCCTCTATTGTACTGTTCTGTGTTTATTCCCTCTTCCTCTGTTCTACTGGTCTGTGTTTATTCCCTCTTTCTCTGTCCTACTGGTCTGTGTTTATTCCCTCTTCCGCTGTTCTACTGGTCTGTGTTTATTCCCTCTTTCTCTGTTCTACTGGTCTGTGTTTATTCCCTCTTTCTCTGTCCTACTGTTCTCTGTTTATTCCCTCTTTCTCTGTTCTACTGATCTCTGTAAAATCCCTCTTCCTCTATTGTACTGTTCTGTGTTTATTCCCTCTTCCTCTGTTCTACTGTTCTTTGTATAAATCCCTCTTCCTCTGTTCTACTGTTCTTTGTATAAATCCCTCTTTCACTATTGTACTGTTCTGTTTTTATTCCCTCTTGCTCTGTTCTACTGTTCTGTGTTTATTCCCTCTTTCTATGTTCTACTGATCTCTGTAAAATCCCTCTTTCTCTATTGTACTGGTCTGTGTTTATTCCCTCTTCCTCTGTTCTACTGTTCTTTGTATAAATTCCTCTTTCTCTGTTCTACTGTTCTGTGTTTATTCCCTCTTTCTCTGTTCTTCTGATCTCTGTAAAATCCCTCTTCCTCTATTGTACTGTTCTGTGTTTATTCCCTCTTCCTCTGTTCTACTGTTCTTTGTATAAATCCCTCTTTCTCTGTTCTACTGTTCTGTTTTTATTCCCTCTTTCTCTGTTTCTACTGTTCTATGTATAATCCCTCTTCCGCTGTTCTAGTGTTCTGTTTTTATTCCCTCTTTCTCTGTTCTAGTGTCCTTTGTATAAATCCCTCTTCCTCTATTGTGCTGCTCTCTGTGTAAACCCCTCTTCCTCTGATATACTGTTTTCTGTATAATCCCTCTGTCTCTGATCTACTTCTCTCTGTATAATCCCTCTGTCTCTGATCTACTTCTCTCTGTATAATCCATCTGTCTCTGATCTACTTCTCTCTGTATAATCCCTCTGTCTCTGATCTACTTCTCTCTGTATAATCCCTCTTCCCTTGATCTACTGCTCTCTGTATAATCCCTCTTCCTCTATTGTACTGTTCTGTGTTTATTCCCTCTTCCTCTGTTCTAATGTTTTCTGCATATTCACTCTACGTCTATTCTATTCTACTGATTATTCCATGTGCCTCTTTTCTACTATTCTGTTTATTCCCTTTTCCTCTTTTCTGTTTATCGTATTTGCCAATACTCTACCTGTGTCCGACTATTCTCGGTTTATTCCCTATTCCTCTAATCTCTTGTTCTCTGTAAATGTTCCAACTTCCTCTATTCTCTCTGAATTGTTCTCTGAATATTCCCTTGTCCTATATATATCCATGGTGACTGCTAATATAGCTAGTATAGTCTGAACGTACAGTAATCTCCTTTCATTTACGCCTCCGTTCTCTGCATATTATCATAAATGAATCCAACACAGGAATGAAGAAAATTATGTCCAAAAGGCTGCATGTTCTTTCATTTCAGTGAGATATATTTACATGGAGTTATCTGTCATGTTGATCCGATTATAGCTTCCTCTTTAACAAACAAATGATAAATTGACATCACAACAGTAAATATATAAGGTCACCTACCTGTTGTTAATGCCGACGTATGTTGATTTATCAGTAGTTGTGTAGTTTTGATTTAACTTTTTTTCCCGGTTCTACATTTCGCAGCAATGATCATATTCGTTTGAATCGCATCGTCGTACAGCGAAACGAAAGTGAATGCTGGCCTCCCCTGCCAGTGACAAGTACGACAGAGATCAGCATCATGAATAACCTTGTGTCACTGTCATTCTCCAATGGTAAGAAATACTTGCGTCTAAAACGCGGAAGAACGTCAGCACTAGCTTGGCCTATTTGTAGATCTCTAGATTCAACATTCTGTCATCAGCTGTTCAACAAACGTGATATCAGTACGACAGCTTATCAGGGCCATAAATATGAAGGCGCTTGCATTGCCATGCGGACTTCTGTCAGCTTGTGGGGCCACGAGGGTCTCAGTCGTTTAGGGCGTGACAATGCCCTGTGCAGACCTTTGTTCCTTGGGTGTGTGAGCAGTTTGTGATCGTGGATTCGAATCCCAGATTGGCCTTGATTATATTTTAAGGTTTGTTAACACCACACCCGTGTTCGTTGGTTTCACCTAAGTGGTAAATGTCTGCATCACTTCGGGCTTAAAATTCTCCCCGATGCCATGGTGACACGCCATGACCATACTGAAATATTGTTCAAAGAGGCGTAAAACAAACTCAGTCACTCGCGTTTACTCTATAGTGTTCAGCGCCCATACACCCACACGTCCATTCTTCAATAAGGAACATATCAAGGGGACACAGTCGTAATCAGCAGACTGAGCCGTCCAAGGCTGTCACTAGCGACGTGGGAGTTGTAACATTCATTGTGGATCCTGAAGTCTAACCCAAAACCATTCTCTAAACAAAGAACAAAGTGCCACTTTTACCTTGAAAGTGTCCTATGTTGTGTTATTGATGAAGAGTTCATTGATCATTTAGTGTGGACGTACTCTTTCTGGGGCAGGGGCACGGGTGACCCAGTCGTCTAAGGCCCTGTGCAGAGTTGCGACCCTTGGGCACGTCAGAAACCTATGATCGTGGGTTCGAATCCCGGTTCGCTCCGATTGTGTTTGTCAGCACCATACCCGTGCTCGTTGGTTTCACTCACCAAAGTGGTAAACGTTTGAGACCTGCATCACTTCGGGCTTTCCTAACACATTAAGCTGACACGCCGCGATATAACTGGAATACTGTTAAAAGCGGCGTTAAACCCAACTCACTCACTCACTGTCCGGGACGGGGCGTTCGTTTGTCACGCCGAAGACCCATGTTCGATTCCCGATATGGGTACAATATTTGAAGCCCAGTTCCGGTGTCCCCCGCCGTGATATTCCTGGAATACTCTTTCCGGGGCAGTGATGGTAAACTCTGTGCAGAGTTGTGCTCCTTATCCGTGTCAGTATCCGCTGATCGTGGATTGGAATCTCAGATTCTTCACAATATAATATTATCTTTAGCCAACACTGCCACTTGCATTACTTTGGTATGTGTGTTGTTTTACGCCGCACTCAGCAATATTCCAGCTGTATGACGGCGGTCTGTAATTAATTTTTTCAATGGAATTACGGTTCTGCCATGGTTGTAACTTTGAGAGAAACATATAGAGCCTATTCATTAATATTTTCTTTTTTACAATATGTTTCCCACAAGTCTGTCAACTGTACGTCTATACAGCCGTTAGGAGAACTTAAATAACTAATAACATGATGCAAGTAGCAGAAAATACACACATGGGTTCCGAGGATGGAATAAAATCGTGAAAACAGACTTTGTCTAACCTTTAGTAGAGGAAATTGACTTCCACATGTATGCATGTCATCCTCTGAGAATGCCAGCTCCCTGCCGTCCCAGTTTTCTGTTTCAGCCACACAATGTAGGTCGTTGTGGTATGAATGCTGACAAGACGATCTTACAACCACGACATTTACAATCGTCGATAACTGATTACTACCTATGGGGTATTTCTTATCAGTTCACCCGTGTGCGACCTTTTCTAAGCTGGACAGGAGAATTCTGGTGGTAAAAACATACACGCAATACACAAGTGTTGATCTCGCAGTCTATCTCTGATCTGGCAGTTATTTCTAGAGTTTGTGACAGAAACGAAACATCAATTTCAACAATAATCGAGTGTGTTGTGTTTATCGCCAATTTGAACAGACAGTCAGTGTTATGGACATATGGCGGCGAGTGTTAAATGTGTGAGACAAAGGCCGAAAATAACACACATCGTTTCACTTTTCGAAAAAGACAACGAGGACAGTTGTGATAACAAATCAAGTTTCCTACTCTGGACGAATTCGAACAAACCATTATCAGACCCTGACGCAGCCAAGGGACATAACTCTAGTTACGTGATTATTTGATACTCACGCACCTAAGGGCCGTATCTCTGTATTCAGTTGAAGTTCGACAAAAGAGGACTGTGGTCGAGTGAGCGTCTGTGTTACTTGAGCCTTTGTCGCGAGTTTGATTTATGACGAATGCAGGTTTCCGTAACATCTTAACCAGGAAGTGATCGAGGCCAAACGAGGCTTGTGTGATTGGCTGCTCTGTGATACCGACAAGGCTGTTCACGAACAAGAGTTCACGTGCTTTACATAAGGTTCTCAAACGCGGGTTATCCACATTTTCAGAAGCTATATGACACGGATTCGTGGAACAAAACAGCTAGTCGTTCCGAATTGAAAAGTGAATTATTGAGACGAACGTAGTGTACCGATGAGCTGCGGCCGCTGAACCGACTGGTTACGGCATGTAGATTGTTATACAGCAAGGCCGCTGTTATGGACCACGGGACCATGTACCTACACGGCCCTGTGTATGAACTTACCCAACTGTTTCAAGCAGACGATAGAGGTTGTGTTCTTATACTCCATGCATATATCATGGCTCAACTAATCGGCATTCCTGTTTGAATCGGGGATTTCGCTGCTATAAAGTAACTTAATTAATATTACGACACATTATACCCCAACCCAATTTAATCCCTATAACACAATAAAAACGTTTGTCGTTTCGTTAAATCAAGGACCTGTTATCTAGGTCCGTGGATAAATCTAACATTTGAAACCTCCCAGGGATGCGTACAGTTACAAAGCAAATTTAACCATGTCAAATCTAAGTTAACATAACTCCCAATTGACACCACCTTGCGTTGTTCAGCTCCTTCTGCCGGCTACAGAATGATGAATGTTCACATCACATTTACTTCGTATCAGTAACACCTTATGAAACTCAATCTGTAGATTCAAATGATAAATGAATCTAAATACGGTTAGATCCGTTTCAAGCAATTCACAACGAGTGCAATGACAGTCACAGCAAGTTTCACCCAAAGATGTTATCAGTAGGGGGTATTGAATTTTTATAAGATTCTTGTATACATGAATATGACACGCAAAAATGCATTCGAGAGCTGTACATTCGCATGCAGCGCGTGGTTAACCTCATGTTTAACGTACGATACACATCGTAGGACCATTATGACCCAGAGTCAGCCAAATCGGACATTTTACCCACCCGATACTCACTTGTTGGATCCTGCGACAAGCGTTTGGTTCTGGGTAGAACATTCTACACCGGAATCACTTTACGGGCTTCCTAGATCGAAGTTTCATTTCACATCTACCCTAGCACTAACCCCAACACCAAAGTCAAATCAAGATTTATGAAGCGTCGAGGGGGCAATTCCCTATTTTGACTCGTACCATATGTTCTCGTACATTGCTGTTGTTTTTTCTTCAGATTTGGAGTTGCATGTGTTTGTGGTCGGTGCCTCCGGTGGGGCAGGATAAGCTCACCTTTGCGCGAACACCTGATCTCATTACTAGTTGATAGTGATTCATAAAGCCATGTTTATGATATAGTCGGAATCGTACAATGCACTCTGCTTTTGGAAGAGGTTGTTTATAGTTATTGGAATGTTGTTGTGTTTTTGTCGCTTTTATTTAACAAGAGAGTGAATGCGTTGTTCCTTAACACCACATGCTTGGTGTATTATTCCAACAACCTTGACAGTATTATTTATACAACCTTGACAGTACTATTCCAACAACCTGACAGTATTATTCATACAACCTCGACAGTACTATTCATACAACCTTGACAGTACTATTCCAACAACCTTGACAGTATTATTCTAACAAAATTTGACAGTATTATTCATACAACCTCGACAGTATTATTCATACAACCTTGACACTATTATTCATACAACCTTGACAGTTTTATCCATACAACCTTGACAGTATTATTCCAACAACCTCGACAGTATTATTCCATACAACCTTGACAGTATTATTCAAACAACCTTGAAAGTTTTATCCATACAACCTTGACAGTATTATTCCAACAACCTTGACAGTTTTATTCCAACAGCCTTGACAGTACTATTCCAACAACCTTGACAGTTTTATCCATACAACCTTGTCAGTATTATTCCAACTACCTTGACAGTTTTATCCATACAACCTTGACAGTATTATTCCAACAACCATGACAGTTTTATTCTAACAACCTTGACAGTACTATTCTAACAACCTTGACAGTATTATTCCAACAAATTTGACAGTTTTATCCATACAACCTTAACAGTATTATTCCAACAACCTTGACAGTTTTATCCATACAACCTTGATAGTATTATTCCAACAACCTTGACAGTTTTATCCATACAACCTTGACAGTATTATTCCAACTACCTTGACAGTTTTATCCATACAACCTTGACAGTATTATTCCAACAACCTTGACAGTTTTATTCTAACAACCTTGACAGTACTATTCTAACAACCTTGACAGTACTATTCCAACAAATTTGACAGTTTTATTCATACAACCTTGACAGTACTATTCAATCAACCTCGACAGTATTATTCATACAACCTTGACAGTACATTTGTTCACGAAGTCAACTACCATAAACTCAGTTTTTGTTTTGTTAAATATCTCAGAATATTTTCACCACACAAAGATCATACATTGGTACAAACCCTAAAACAACACAATAAAACTAAAAAGGACGATAGTATGAATTGATAATGTTTTCAAACCGAAAAGAACCTAGTTTTCTACTCGTGGGTGTCGCGCCAAATGACATCAAAAGTAAAGATGAAAATATCTAATTTTTTATTGAGTGTCGTATAAACATACTACCACGGTTATGCTCCGCCAGCCGTTCGGTGTCTGATAAACGTTGGATTTAGTTTCAGATATTAATTAATAATTGGGCTAGAAACGTGCCCAAATCATGCCTCATGTGCTCAGGTGAAATCACATTTTTTTACTGTTCAGAGAGAAAATGGTAGTTGCTACCTACCAACTTCCAGTTTGGCATGGACAGCGCTCAACCCCTGTGCCTATTGTTATGCATATACAATTCGTTAATATGGTGTGAAGGGGTGAAGGCGTGAAGTATTATGGCCCTTGTTTCTGCACAACAAGGCCCCGTGTGGGGATTCCGGGCTAGAGAATT